ACCTCTTGCTTTTATTGCTTAAAATTAGGGAATTTTTGTTTAACTCTTTTTCCTTTTTCTTATTGCAAATCAAGTCCTGCCTTTATTACTTAAAATTGGCAAATTTCTACCCTATTATTTACTATCCACCGACTTTCAACTTTTACGTGTGATGTTATTAGGGGCTATGAACTGTTAACATTTCTTCTCTCTGCTCTTTATCTATAAATGTTGCCGCACCTGAATTTATCACCTATGCCTCTGTTTTCTTTCCCTGCATTTCAGACTTATCATCTACACCTCTGTTTTTTTCCCTTGCATTTCACCCCTTCCTCTCTCTGTTTCACTTTCCATCATTTACTACTTTGTTTCGTTGTTCATCATTTACAGCCCTGTTTTTTTGTCCGTGTCTTTTCTCTTTCTCCTTATACTCGGTTGGCTGATAACTCAGACTTAAGACAACATTTATATCGTCCCAGGTATTATCTATAAACCCTATCCATAACTTTTTAATTCCTCATGCTGATATTAGATGTATTGCTTTCCTCTGGTGGCATTAATTTTTGTCCTTTGCATTTTATTAGATATATTTATTTCCCTTTATATCTCCTTAGCTTTTCCATTTTGATGTTACCATTTGAAAAAAAAAAAAAAAAAAATTCAAATTGTCCAATCTTTTTTGCTATTTACAGTTTCATTCAGGACCTCTTTGTATATGCAATACGTTTCTTTATCTGTTACTCCCCTTCAGCTTCCAAAAAAAAAAAAAAATTCCTTGCAGGGAAAAAAAGCAAAAGACAGGCTTTATTATTTCATTCGCGTCTCCTTATTCTATTCATCACCTTTTTATTCCTCTATTTGCTATTATTTACTCTCTTTTTTCTCTGCTTTTCCTATTTTATTTCATCATATAATCTAATCTATGTTACACTATGCCTCTTATGTTGTTTTCTCCTTTTTTTGGCTATGTATTTAATTCACGAACTACTTTATATCTTACTCAAGTTATCTATTTTGTGTCACATGCAAATTATAATTTGTGTGATAGATACAATGTCATCCATTTGTGTAGTTGCTCTTAGTAGGCAGCCACAATGTATTTATCACACATTGTTGAAAAGATTAAATACCTGAGCCACCATTCTTACATAAAGATACTATCATATTTATATTTATTGATTTTTTAGTCTTTTTTTTTTCTTTCCCTTGCCCCGGCTACTTTATTTAGTCATATTTATTTGTCTTTTACATTTTATTACCTATATTTATTTCCCTTTATATCTCCTTACTATATGATGCTGATATGATTACTTTTTAAAATAAAATAAAATAAAATAAAACGGACGTCAAAAAATTATGACATTTTGCATATGCGATCATTCTATTTTTTTGGGCACGCCTGCAAAACGTAACCTAAAAAAATGATAAAAAAGTAAAATACTGTCAAAAGGCTTTCGGCCCGCGTAGTGGGGTGCCCAGGGGCTAAGATTGGTCAAAAATTTACATTTTTATTTATGTTTTGCATTCTAAAATTAATATACGATTTTTAAGAATTAATGCGACAAGCGTCACTATTTTTTTGATGAATATTCTATTTTTTATGATTTTCTTTATTTTTCATCTTTGAAAAATAAAATAAAATAAAAACGACGTCAAAAAATAATAAAATTTTATAGACAATATCCTTACATTTGTTTAGGAATGATAGAGAAAAATGGCCTCATAACATGACAAAAAAAAGTAAGATGTTATCAAAAAGTCCTCGGCTCGCGTAGTGGGGTGCCCAGGGCTCAGCTCAGGGGCCGGGATGGGTCAAAAATTTATATTTTTATTTATGTTTTTCATTCTAAAATTAATATACAATTTTTAAGATTTAATGCAACAAGCGGCACTATTTTTTTATGAATATTTTATTTTTTTATGATTTTTCTTATTTTTTGTTTTTGAAAAATGAAATAAAATAAAAGCGACGTCAAAAAATAATGAAATTTTACGGACATGATCCTTACATTTTTCTAGGTATGTTAGAAAAAAAATTGGCCTCCAAAAATGACAAAGTAAAACACTATCAAAAAGCTCTCAGCCCGCGTAGAGGGGCGCCGAGGGGCGGGCTCCAGGGTTGGGGTAGGTAAAAAGTCCCCTCCAGGGTTGGGGTAGGTAAAAAGTTTACATTTTTATTTATGTTTTACATTCTGATGAAACACTTCAACGTAATCATTAATGTTATTGTCGGATGGTAACATGATCAGGGTAATGCATACCATCACATGACTTTTACCTGGTAGTAATTTGATGTTGGAGATAATCATAATAATTAATGGAATTAATTAATTTTATAGTGGTATTAATGCATCATAAGTATAAGATTACCATTAAATTAAACTAGAAAGGCAGGTACGTGGCATGTTGAAAAGTTACAAGACGTATCAATTTGAAATCATTCTATTTAACTCCGTCTAGCAATACCCAAACAAGCAATTTGGCTCAAATTGCATTCATTAGGTGACCACGGGATAAAGTCGTATATGAAATTAAAAAAAAAAAAGAAAAAACAAACAAACAAATAAAATTTTATTATTTCCTTAATCAAACAAAGTTCTATAATTACCGTACCACATTTGGATTTTTTTTATATTTTTAAAAAAGAATACTAGATTTGGATTATTAACTGAAGTAGTGCTATTGAAAACTACACTCAAATCAAAAAATTATAATATTCATTATGGGTTTAATGGAAACTTTAAATGCACCAAATTGTTGAACCGCACAAACAGTTAGAGCACGCATACATCCAGCAATGCACATTTGTCCTCTAATCCTTTTGGCATGTGACGATTCAATATGATACCAATATTATTGATATCAAAGTGATAGCCGAATCAGCAACAACCTTTGATGATAATAATTAATATAAACAACCATTGATGATAACAACACTATTTTAGTTGTTATGGGCAAACCAATGTATGCGTGTGCGTTTTGTGGCAATTTATTAAGTTGTACATCATTATGGAGTCCTCTCACTATCATTCCAGTATGAGTTTTATTCTCTGATTCACATGATCAATGATCTTTGTCCGCATATTGTGTGATGACTATATTATATATAAAATATTACATTTATGGGAATGACTCTGCATTTCTACAACAAATTATATTATCAATTCAGATACTGCAGCAAGTAGATATTTATAAAAATATGCAAGAAGGTTAATATCACTTTTTTGATATGTAAAAAAATAAAAAATAAAAACCAAAAAAATAAAAAAAACGATCTCAGTTGTTGAATCTTTTATTACCAAATAGTAGAGCTAGTAATCCGGGCAGCGACACGACGACACGACTCGAAAGTCGCACGAAGTTAGCGAGTTTGAGTTTATTATAAATGAGTTTGGGTCAAATCGAGTTGACACGATTAATACGATTAATAAATTAGTTGAGTTATGGTTGACCTCCTAACATAAATTCACACGATTAATTACATGTGTCAACTGCAATCTAATGATATGTGATATAATATGAAAGTTTATATAACATATTAAATACAAATAATGTGAATTTTAATATTTGTAGGTAAAATTCATTTATTTTTCTTAAAGGAAAAGATAAATTGACCAATAAACATGTTAAACATGTCTTGACCGTGTTAATTAAGTTATTATTATATTAATTATTTATTCAATATATTAATTTAAACTGGTTATACGGGTTGACATAATTAACACAATTAATAAATAGATCGTGTTTGAGTTGATATTTTTGACACGTTTAATAAAAGATCGTATTTAAATTGATATTTTCTAACATAATTAATAAATAAATTGACACAAATATAACCCACTAATACGATTTGCCACCCTTACCAAATAACTTGACTTTGGATTATTTGTAATACAACCAAAATTTCAGAATGTACCTTAGTTTTTAAGTAATGATATAGGAGTTAAATATCACATTTCATAATAGAAAGGACATGACCGCTAGGGACAACAACACCTACTATAAACCTGATGCGAGTCAACCTAACTAATTAGAATCTCCATTGGATTTTAACCCTTCTCTGATGTGTCGAATTTTAATCGGTTAAAACATTACTTTTCAAATTTTTTTTCCCTCAAAGACCAAGGTTTACAAACACATGTCAATTAGTATCTTTTGAGTAAGAATGGAAGTGCATAACATTTTCCTCGTAACCTACACAAATTATAATTAGTATAAACAGTTATGTCACTCCAATTCTTAAGCTATAATTATTTATTTTTCCTATAGAAGAATTGAAGCTGTAACTTATACCTCAATATACCTTTAAATAAGTCAGTAACTGGCAAACTGCCAATACCAAAGAAAAAAAACACTTTTATTTACGTTTGTTTGCAAGATGTGCATTGTGTATAAACCAAAACAAAAAAAAAACAAAAAAAAAGAGGGTCATAATTTGGTGAGTCACATGGGTAACACTTGTACCCAAGAGCGTTTTCCTGATTAGATTTCCGTCCCATTTTGCCTTGTAATTAGTAAGGTAGATTTTTAATTTCAATTAAAATTTAATTTTATGTGAAAATTTTTTATTATAATAAAAAATTAAATATAATTATTTTTTAAAATTTTTTATTATAATGAAACTTAAATTTTAAATTCAAAATAACCGGGTGCATCGAAGCCTCCTTACTTCCATCCATTTCCCTGTAAAGTTTCTCACTTTTCAACTTTTTTCCCTTCAAAATTATAGATAGATCTAGAGAGAGAATAAAAGAATAAAATAAGCAGAGGAAAAGATAATGATTGAAGAAGATTAATATTTGATAAAACCATAAATGGTATGGGGCCCACTTTTGTTTTCCACACCACCTTTCTTTTTAATGGCGGTTTATGAATACTACTGCTACTGTTTTTTTCCTCCTATATATATACACAGTGTATCACAACATAAAACCATATCAGTTTCATGATATCTTCGTCATCTGGGCTTTTGTTGTTTTCTGTAACTGCTTCCTCTTAATCTGATCTGCAGGTAGCTTCTTCTTGGCCAGAGGCACAGCAGAAACATGTTTACAGAAATGGAATATTGTTATTGTTCATAGCTAAGAACTAAGATCTTTTTTTTTTTTTTTGTGTTAATTTTTTGGGTTGAGTTAAATCAATGGCTGGGATGCTTCCTGGTGTTGAATGTGCTCGGAGGAGAAGATGCCATCAAAGCGGAGGGAGTTCTGATTCTCTGAGTGCACCTGCTTATGGCTGGACAAGAAGGCCTTCCTTCTGTTTGTACACAAGCAACAATGAAAAAACCCACCACATCACCTCTACTTTTCTAATGGTATATATCTTCTTTTGTTATTTATTTCAACACCACACATATATATATATATATATATATATTGGCTACATCAGTTAGATAATTAATTTTGGTTCTTTTGTTATAAAAATAAAAATAAAAATAAATAAAAAAAGAAGAAGCAGGGAAGTATGTCAACTCAAGTATACCAGGATGATGATGATCAAAAACTAGGAGTAAAAGCCAGAGAAGCCAAGGAGAGATTGAATGAGAGGCTGAGAGCACAAAGAAAATCAGAATCAAAAAGGTAACTTTACAAAGGGAAAAAAAAAGTATAAAGGCAATATGTGGCATGATTTTCTATTTCTCTTCATTGCTCTTTTTGATGATTTGATTTTGTTGAAGTAAAAAAAAAAAAAAAATCAAAATTTCAGGCAAAACGGGAAATCAGTGGGGAAAGGAGATCAGCTGCAAAAGGAGGTATATGGAACAAGGAAAAGTGGTTCGAGGAGGTTCAGCTGGGCCAAGCTGAGCTGGAAGGCATCAGACCAAGAAGTGTGTGCCATTTGCTTGGAAAGGTTCAGGGCTGGTGAGAATCTGGTGCACCTGCCTTGTGCCCACAGGTTCCACCATGGGTGCTTGGTTCCATGGCTAGAGAACAATTCTCATTGCCCTTGTTGCCGAATGGGGATAAATGTTATGACCCATATTTAATCTTGCTTGGTGTTTTGGAAATATGTAATCTAAATTAAAACTTTGTTGGTGTAATGTAATTGTTGTGAATATAGTTGAGTTTTGGTAGTATGTAGTGTGTACCAATGGTAAAGTATTTTAAGAGTTTTATTTAATGATTGAAAAGAAGAAAAGGATGTTGGAATAAGTGGTAATAAGAACTACTTCAATTAGGCGTGACCATAAAATTTGGTAGCCACTGAATGGCCATTTTATTAAAAGAAATACAAGGTTTGTAAGAAAAGAAGATGTAATTTAATGAATCTCAGATTTAGATATGGATATCTTCTGAATCTGGAATATTGCTTTTTGGTCTTTATTCAAGATGCCAATATATCTTTAGATTGTCACTTTGACACATACAGAGATTAAAGACTTATAAAAGTCCTCACTAGTTGAGTCCAAATTATTAGAAGTCCTGTTTTCATAATTCAATAGATAACATGCCATTTCTGCTCTAATTTTCTTTCACATATCTCAATAATTCATTCAATATTTCCACTGCTTGAAGTCTTATTAATAACCTAGATAAAACAAACTAGCACTTCTAGTTTCATAATTACAAATGATAACAATCAATGTTTGATTTACCCCACAGTGAAAGAAAAATGTCTTTTTATTCGTTTATTTATTTATTGGTTGTAATATTTCAAGGTTTTATTTTTATTTTTTGCTGAAAAATGTTTTTTTTTTTTTTTTTTTTATTGTAATCTTTCAAGGTTACACACATACACAGAGAAAAAAGGTCATTCGATCTGATGAAGACAACTCTTGAATTATTTGTTCAAGTATGTGAATCTGATTGAAGAAAGCATCACTTTCTATCCAATCTCTTGCCCCACCACCACCATGAAAAATTGATTTTCATATAATGCAGCCCTCCAGCCCATCAGTGGCCCACAATTCTATGATGCGTTTTGGACGGAAACTTATGGGATAGGCCATGCCGTTTTAGCTTTTCTTAAATGGGCACTTTATATATATTTGGTGAAACAACGTCAGAAATTTTGAAAAAAAAGATGTTTGGAATCGTATCAAATTGGTCATATTGAAAGACTAATAAAAACAATTGCTTGTTGATCTAGGGACTAGGTGTTTGCTAGATCTTCTGATCATTCCCACATCAATTGGTCTTTTAATATTATTATAGCGGTGAGGATAAAACTGAAGAGTTCGATATGCTTTTCCTTTATTTTCTTCTACATATTCACAAACCTGCATTTTGTCAGAGTTTTTTTTTTTTTTTTCTTTTTTTTTTTCCTGTGAAACACCATCTTGTCATGAGTATCATTTTCTATCAAAAATAAATAAATAAATAAGAAGTCTTTGTATACATATATTGTATTCTTCGATTTGATTTTTTGTCAATTTGGAAATTGACTAAAGTCTAGTATCTTCTTACTCGTACCCCACAAGAAAAGGGCATGGATAAATTTGTAGTTTTCTTTTTTTCTGGTTTTTGGACAGAATAAGCCACTGTTTCGAAAGAATGCTTAAATCGATATTTGCGAAGAGCACACCAAACGACAGCGTATTTTCTCACTAATTCATTAGCTAATCAATTTACCATATTACCCCTCAATACAACGGCTAGTTTTTAGGTGACCGTTTCGAGTGTCCTAAATTCAAAACGAGAAAACAACCCCTTTCTTTCTGTCCATGAAGCTCGCCACAGACGGTGAAAAGCTCTCTCCGTTTCAAATTCAGACAACCCAAAAACCAAAACCGAAAATTCATCCAAAAAGTTCAACAAAAGGATCCGGGATCTCTGAAAAAATCCATTCTTTTTCACATAAATTTTGCTATTCACACCAAGAACCAAAGAAATCAAAGATGGTTTACTCTTACACACCCACATACTACTCTACACTCCATGACTCGATCACCTCATTATGCAAGACAATTCTTCCCTTCAACTTCAAGAAGCGGCGATTGCCAGCGGCGGAACAGAAGCTCTCGAAGCTGCAGTCGGACAATCTCAAGTGGCAGCAAGATTCTTTCCACCAAATGCTTAACTTGATGGGTCTTCACAAAGAAGGGATTTTGGCTGAAAATGAGGTTTCAGCTTTCCGGTCACATTTGCTCGAGACCCTCATCGCTTCTCCCCCGGAGCAAGAGCAGCCGGTCATATTAAGAGATAAACTGCTCTTTTTGCAGGTATTTATATTGACGTTTAATATTCCCCCTTCCCCCCCCCTTTTCAACGTTTTATAGCCTGAGAACTTAAAATTCTGGTGAATTGAATTTAACACGAACTAAAATTGGAATTCTATTTTTTTCCCTATTTTCATGTGCTTTTCTAAGTGATGATTTGAGGATATAATTGGGTAAATTTCTGATGGGGCACTTTTGATAGTTAAGATTTTAAGTTCTGATGAGGCAATTTACCTGCTCTTTTTGCAGGTAAATTTTCTGATGAGGATATAATTGGGTAAATCTGAATTCGATTTTTTCTTTTCCTATTTTCATGTGCTTTTCTAAGTGATGATTTGAGGATATAATTGGGTAAATTTCTGATAGTTAAGATTTTCTTTGCATACTTTCTTCATGAGCTTAGAACTGAAAATTCTGCTGATATGAGCTTATTAACTGAATTTGGAATCTGAGTCTTTTTCTTTTGTCACTTTCCTTTGCATTTTTAAGAACTGAAATGGGATCTTGTTAGTTTACCAGATATAATTGACATAAATATTATTTTTAGGAGCTCTTGTATGCAAAATGCATTTCTTCAGAGGAATACCACTCTTCCAAGAGGCCATTGCTTCAACGATTGGCGGTTCACGGAGCTGAGATTGAGGCCAGAGATGTAATCGCTGGAGCTCTACCGAAAGACCCGAAAGAGAATTCAGAAGAGGAATGGTCTGTGATTGACTTGAAGGACGAAAACTGCTCTTTAAGCAAAGAAAACTCAAATTCAAAAAGCAAATCGTCAAAGCAAAGCTCGGCGATGAAGCAGATCAAAGGAGCAGCCTCGGTTTTCGGGTTTGTTTCGTCTTACAAACCCGGGAAGAACAGAGAAGAGAAGAGCATATTTGATTTGGAGGCATCGAAGCTTGCTTCCTCTAACCCGAATTGGGATGGTAATTTGATGGGTAAAGAAAATGAGACGAGCTCAATTCTCATGGCCGGAACCTTCATGCCAGAACCTGTCAAGGAAAGTGGCGGGGGCATGGATAAGTCAAAGAGAAAGCCTTTTAAGGCTCTGTTTCAGAGAGAACAGAGAGATGGACATGGCAGCAGCGGTGGTGGTGGCGGCAGCGGCGGAGGTGATCATGGTGCTAATTGTGGCGAAACAGTGTCAAAACCGACGAAAAAGCATTGGGGTTTCGATGGATTCAAGAAATGGAACAAAAATGAATCGGATGATGAGACGACTCCATTGCCCCTCAACGAAAGATCAGACTCCGACGCTTACTCGAATTCATGCCAGCTGGTGGCGAGCCCTGCAGGAGAAGGGCCAGACACGAAGCTAATTAAGAAAAAGCTTCATAAAGATGGTGCTCCATCTGATTTCTTCATTGACAAGGTTTCTGCCATATTCTTAATTTTTTTTTTTTTTTTCATTTCTTAGTTCTTGTTTCTTAAATGGTTGCCTTTTGTAGCTTGGTTTTTGAAGTCTAAGCTGAAAACTGAATCCAGGTTGTTTTCGTATTTTTTGAAGGTTTTAGGGGATAAGATAAAGAAGGAGCTATCACGAATTCAATCAGAACTCTGCACCACAAATCCCAATCTCAAATTCTCGTAAATGTTCTCACTCTCATCTTTCACATTTTTGGTATTCTTCTATTTTTTTCACTACTTGATGACAAGTACCTTCTTCTCGTTCTTCTTGTTATCATCCAGGGATGATCAAATCGAAGCAATTTCAACCAAGCTTCCCGTCGACAAATCCGATCTCAAGAACTTCTTCCCCAAGTATCTCTCTCTCTCTCTCTCTCTCTCTCTAGTCTCTATATTGGAATTCATTGATGTACGAAATGTTGATATTGACATTCATTGATGTCCAAATGTTGATTGTTTTGCATTGTTTTCTCTATACTGGCATTCATTGATGTACAAAATGTTGATTGTTTTCTCTATATTGGCATTCATTGACGTACAAAATGTTTATTGTTTTGCCATGTTTTCTCTATATTGGCATTCATTGATGTACAAAATGTTGATCGTTTTGCATTGTTTTCATAGGTCATGGTGTGATAGGTATGGAGATGTTGTTCTAGACGTGGTGAAGAAGGAATTCAAGGACCACGTTGGAGAAATGGAGAACATGAGAAATGAAGCAAGAGAAAAAAGAACCAGCAACAACTCGAAGCGCTGGACGACATTTGACGACGATGATAGCGAGAATTTCCACCCGAATCTGTTTGCTCAGAACAATGACAACCTTTTTGGTGATCATAACAGAAGTAATGGAAGTAGGCTGAGATCTGAATCAGCTTTCCTCCAAGACCAGAACCCGTTTTGGTCCCCGAGGCATGGTTCTTCCTCAATGTTGGCTTAGACGAAGATAAAACAGACGACTCTTTTGTTGTTTGTGTAATTGTATGTCGTTCTTATGTGTTGTGCTTTTATAGTTTGTTGAGTGATGCGTGAATTTGTTATTTTGGAGTATATTTTATTCTTGAACAATGGATCTATGGAAGAAGAATTCTGTTCTTCGAGTAATTCAAACACGATGGTGTTTGCAGTTGTTTTGTACTGAATGTTCAAAATATTGTTCCCAATTGGGTTCAAATATATTGTTTTCATATGTTTGGGAAAAATTGGAGAATTTATTGTTGAGAGTACATGAGTCTAGATATTTACATTTACTCTTGATAAATATCTTTTTATTAGTGTAATTACTTGACTAAAAAGATTATGAATCAAGAATAAAGGGTAAAAATTATGACTCATACACTTTTAAAGGGTATTTGTTAAGATTATCCTATTATTTTCTTATTTAGATCCCAGAAAAACTCTCTTTCAAGTTGGGTTTGGTAAAATAATATGCCAAAAGCCTTTTTCTCCACTGCAATCTACAAGGACAGTACTTGCAATTCTTTAGTCCAATAATTTTCGTGTACAATGTTCCACACCTTAATTATTTATTTGTTTTTTTTTGTTTTTGTTTTTGTTTTTGTTTTTTTTTTGGCTAAATGATGTAGCAGAAGCGTGAGAAAAATAAGAAAAAGGAGGATAAATTTCTAAGACCCTCTATAAACCTGTTGATTCTATAAACATGTTGACTCGTCGAATGCAAAGAGCCGAATGTTAAACATCAATGACTCGTTTATTCTATGCAATGTCGAGATACCTAGAATATTGAGATAACACCCAAAGGAATATATATCATTAATCATCAAAAACTGCTGTTAGAATTATAATACAAATAAGGTTTAAATAGTAAAACTAATAACCTAATCCTATTCTAAATTTTAAATTTGAGACAACTAAGATAGATATTATAAGGATAACTACTTCCCTAAAATCCCAAAGCCCAAATATGAATATCTAATCAACATAATTTTAATCTTGCCAAAAAAAAAAATCAACATAATTTTAGATTCAAGTAATATCTAATAATAATTCAAAATTTTGATAATGGTTATCCCAATTCCGAAAATACTTCCAACTATATCACTATATGTTGGTTTCTCAAACCGGATTTTAAAAAAAAATTGTGCAGAAGCGTGGTATCGATCGAATCACATAAATCAAAATTTAATGTGATCATTATTTCATGTTAATTTAACTACAAAGATATTAAAGAAAGGAATGAGGATTTGACCGTCGTTCGATTAGAACGAAAATCTTGAACTCCTCCAACACCGTCTTGAGCTCTTAAATTCCAAGAACACCACGGTTCTTTCTCAATGTATCTCCGGATTAACGTGAACTCGAACGTGTGGGTGTTCTAATGGGTTTCTCAACACATGAGATGGATGAATAGGGAAGCCACCTATAGTTATCACTCACTTTTCTCAAAAGTATATGATGGCACTCAAAAAATTTTCTTTGGTTTTCTTTTGTTCTCCCGTTCCTTTTTTTTTCTTTCTATCTGTTCACTCTCTCGGAAAAAAAAAAACTTTTTTTTTTCGTTACATCTCTTATGAACAACATTCATTCCCTTTTTGAGTAAATGTGCAACCGTACTCCATTTTCTCAGGAGAGGAAACGTGCAACAGCACGTTTCCTCCCACTCCCTTTTTCATTTTTTTTTGAGGAAACGTGCACATGCACGTTTCCTTCCTTTTAAATATATATATATATATATTAATGAGGGGGAAGAAGGAAACGTGGAGAAAAAAAAATCTCTCTAAATTCATCCATATTAATTTAAAACAATTTTAAATTAATTTTAATATTAATTAATCAAATTAATTAATATGTGTATTTAGAATTCTCAATTCTATATTAACAATCATAACCCAATATGATATATTCAGTTCACATTAATCTTATGGAGCCATT